TCTGAGCTGCTTTTTTTTTTCATGTTGGTGTAGTTTTGAGTCCTCAATATCAAGAATATCACTGTAGAGGTTGTAGCGCAGTACTAAGTCCATGCTACTGCTTTACTTCAAGACGGAAGTGGCTTACAAGTTGATAGTGAAGCTCCAGTGGAACAAGTGTGACATTGCCGATGTCTTCAGACAGTGGGATGGAGAAAATAACACGGTGGCTGCCAACCTCTGTCTCCTTGCAGGTGGCTTCTGTATGCTGCTTCGTGCTGTATCCCAGCACACTGGGTTTTCTTGGTAACCATTTCTGCTGCTCCTTCCTGTTGTGGCTTTTGACCACTGCTGCTGTTTTGTTGTTCCACCGTAGCAGAAGTCTGTATGCTAGTGGAGGAGAATGGCCTTGGTGGTGATACCATAGGATCTTTCAGCCTAGAAAAGCATGGTGTAGACAGGTGTTACTTCAGAGAGCAGATTGTTTGAAGATGCAGCATTGCAAAAATTTGATTCCCCTGCCTCTGTGTCCCTGCTGGACTATACGCTCGGCTTCTGTGGGGAAAATGGAGTTGTTCTTTCATGTGCTTACAGTCCTTTCTCTTTTTTTAAGAGCAGTTGTTGCAAGACATAATATATTGTTAACTGTGTGCTTGTTTGTTTTTTGGAGGAGTTTAAAAATCTGCCATTCAGTATGTGTATGATTTAAATGCAGAATAAATTAATATTTTGTATGTGTGAGAGAAATGAGTAAACGCAGCTGTGAAGTGAAATGGTCCTCATGAAGTACTGAAGTTGAACAATGCCATGATAATGTAAATTTCCATGACTTTTTGATGCATCTCCGAAGAAAGTCTGGTAGATTCAGTTATAACTTACTATTGTAATTATACTTTCCTCTTAGGAAGCAAAAATTGAACCAGAAGAATTTACAAAAAAGTTATACGTAGAGCTTAAGTCATCTCCACAACCATATTTAGTTCCTTTTCTCAAGGTAAGTGTCTGATATACAGTATTTAATGGGGGAAGAGACTAGAAAAGAACAGAGTTCTGACATTCAAACAGATAGTTGCTCAGGTCAGTTGAGGAAGTGGTGCTTAACCTAGCCCTGTGTCACTGTTGCACACTCTGTTTTTGAGGGGAGGGAGGATTTTTGATGAGTAATATATGCTGTATTCTTAAATTGTAGAGTAATTACCTTCTAGTTGTTAGTGGAGTCTAGTGTTTTGGAACCTTGTTCATCTACAGTAGAGCAGCTATGCTAAGATGACCTCTTACTTTCTCATCAAAACTAGCTATTCCGAGTTCTAGTATAGAAGACTTTGACAACAGTGGCAGTACACAGTTTATGCAGTGTTTAACTTCAAAGAATCTACATAAAGCCATTCATCTACTGGTTTGTGTTTAACTGGAGGCACAAGAAAATCCCCTGCCCTTTTCTTCAGAAAGGGTCTAACAGGACTACTGCAGCTTAGGAAAAGAATCCCAGGGCAACTCTACCTCTGTTGAAGCAAATAATCACATAAATTTTAAAATGATCCCTTAATGCTTTTAATCATATGGTAGAATGGTATTGACAAAATAAAAATTAGCATCTTTATTGTACAGCAAGCATTAAATCCCAGCAAAAACATGCAAAGCTTGGTTAAATTTACTTAATTGCAATGTACACCATATTCTTAGGCTTGATAGATCTGTACCTTTCCTTAGCATTCATTATAGGTGTGATGGAGAAGCAAGGAAGAATAGTTAAGTGGTAAAGCTAGGACAGAGGTTTTCTGGAGTTCACCCTTTTCCTTAGTATATGATGGGCCATATAACAATGCCCATGGTGATATTACTTCAGATGGCTGGTGTTTGATCTGTTAAAGGGTGGCGTAAAACCTTTTGTTACAGTGACAACTTCCAACGGCCTTGCTATGGAGTTTGCCATGAGTCTAGAGCACTACAGTCATCTCTGCAGGAGCCTTAAACTGAGATAAGGGAGATTCAGATTAGATATTAGAAAAAAATTCACTGTTTGGGTGGTCAGGCGCTGGAATAGGTTGCTCGGGGAGGTGGTGGAGTCATCATTCCTGGAGGCACTCAAGAGATGTCTGGATCTGGCACTGGGTGATAGGGTTTAGTGGTTTAGGGGTTAGAGTGGTTGTGCTAGGTGGATGGTTGGACTGGATGATCTTAAAGGTCTCTTCCAACCTTAATGTGATTCTATGACATAAAATTTTCATACTGGTTACTTAGTCTCTGTTTAATTTTCTGGAGCCTTCTTAAATGCCCATGCAAAAGCCAGAAGAATAAACAGCTCTGAGAATGGGCTTTTCTGTATCCAGTGTGGCTCTGGCTGCAGAAGGACCAGGGTGTGAGTGCAGGGTCAGTGTGATTGTCAGAGGTTTCCTAGGGGCTGCATGAAGTTGTAGGAGAGCTCTACTATCTGCCAGGGCAAGTTTGGCTTCTGAAGTAGCATAGCTGCATTCTGCAGGGCCCTGGCTGATTGATGCTGCTAGATATGGGCCCAGTTCAGGTGCTGCTGTGCTGTGTTCCTGGAGCAGCTCAGGTGAACCTCAGTAGCTCTGCACAGACCCAGGCTTAAATCTGGCACAGCTAGACCTTGTTTGAGACTGGTAAGACCTGATAGCCCCAGACTAGCTCATGTATGGCAGCTGAGGGCTGACTGCACTGCACTTAGTAATGCTTACACTTGTTTGGTCCCACAAGGGTTTATTAGCTTAGGCATAGTGCTGTCCTTGTGCTCTCACAGAAGTATTCACTTCTAGTTAAGAAGCCATCCCACAATGTGGAGAGCTGCTACGCTTGGTGCACAGGCCTTAAGGAAGTTCTGCAGGGGTTAAGTTGGGTTCGTCAGCATGGATCAGACCCTGACCTGTTGCAGCAGAGCCATTGCATGTTTCTCCTGCAGCATACTGCCACATACTGGTATCATCTAGGCTTTTCTGTTCTGGGTAGTATCCATACCACATAATCCTTAACATGGTGCTCTTTCCCCGTTGCATGCTGTATTAACAAAGTAATGCTGTGATTTCAGAAATGTTTAGACGTAGTAGTCATGGTCAAAGTTAGCTGACTGCTGTGTAGCGAGTCCTTTAAAACATCTTGCATCCTGATTGGTTTTTTGGAAACGCTATAAGGATGTGTGGTTGCTGCACACAATTAGGTTGGTCTGTAACTCTGAGCAGCTGTGACAGGACTTAGTGCCAAATGGAAGATGACTTCAGGAGCACTTCTCTAAGGTGCTAAGAGGATAAGTGCTGGCCTTGTTTGTGGGGTAAATGTTTGCAGCTTGAGTCTGGAAAGAAATGTGATACGGCTTGTTGCCAATTCACTTTCAGTGAGTGAAATGGAATTTTAGGGAGGACTCTCTGGAGTAGTCTCTTATCTTTGAGCTGCAGGTTTTTGATGAAGTTGTGCATGTGTTTTGTTTTGTCTGTTCCGAGAGGTGGAAAAGTACAGTGACTGTGGCTGTGAAGCCTGCTTGATTTTTCAAGTCTGGTGGATGCTCTTGGTAGATAAATTACAGCAGGAGTGGAGCAGCCTTTTAAAAGAAAAGGAAGTGAATATTAAAAGATAGGTGTGCCACAAAAGGTCCAGGTGTGCAAACAGTTTGTTCACTTGGTGTATTAGCATGTGAAGCATGTTCCTTTTGCATGAAGTCCATAGCAACAGCACTGTGCTGGAGACTCTTACGAACTTTAGAAACTGTCAAGGAGGGGAGGAAAAAAAGGTTTGCAAGAATATACAGGTAGCTGCAGAACTGATTTCCCCTGGTTCAGAGCCATAGCAGATTATACACAGTCAAGGAGAAAAATCTATAGAGAGCTTGAAGATTATTCTGTCCATTAACCTTCTCAAACACAGCTGTAGTAAAAATGAGATGTTGCCAGATACTTTTCCTTTTGTTCCCCTGTTGCAGAGAAGTAGCTGGCTTAAGCTGTGTTGCTACAGCTCTACAGACATTATTAAAGTGGTATCCCCCCCTAGTGTAGATACAGCTGTATTGGTATAGAAGTGCTCTTCAGAGCTTGTTTCTGACTTTATTGGATAGCTCATGGTTCCTTGTCAGACAGGCTCCGTGAAATAAACACAGCTGTTCCAATATAGCAGGTTCTCCTGGCAAATCAAAATTTTTAGGTTGTAAAGTAGTCAAAATCACCTTACTCTAAAACATAAATTCCAAATGGAAAAATCTAAACAAAAGAACAAAGTTGTGTGTGAGTTTCCCTATAGATGGAATTTGTTACATGTAGTGAATCTCTGGTGGCTGTTGACTTTTGCTCAGCCTGGGTTGGTGTTTTTTTGTGGTCTTCAGTCAACAGTACTGTCGTCAATTTAAGGGTGTCTGAATTTTATCAAAACTTGTTTGGAATAAACAATTTATTGCCTCATGAAAAGTCTAATTGGAAGATGAGGAAGGGGATTCAGTTATGAACGTATCAGTATTATGGAAAACTCTGCTAATACTACATCCACTGTTTTTTCATTTTTCTCCTAGAAAAGCATGCTTGCCTTACGGCAGCTAATGCCCAACCCTCAGAGCTTTATCCAACAGTGCATGGAGCAGCCAGCTCCAACCCAAGAAATGGTTTTGACTTGTACCTCTGCAGTACCAGCTCCTTCAACAGGAGAGGCAACCTCAGCTGTAGCAACAACTTCTCTTCCAGTTACAAAACCCATGTCTGCCTCTGTAACAGGCACAGCCTCTCCAGTTATAAAACCAGTCCTTGCCAGCACGTCAGCAACAGCTTCTCTGCAGACTGTGAATCCTGTTCCTTCCTCTGCAGTGGTGACAACATCTCTTCGGCCTGCGACTTCAGTCCTCACCACAACGATAGCTACGTCAGGGCTGACCACTATCCAAACTGTCAAGCCAGTCTTCACCTCTGCAGTACCAACGTCCTCTCTCCAGTCTGCAAAGCCAGTGCTGGTCTCTACAGTGGCATCTTCATCAACAACCCCTCTCCAGCCTCTGAAGCCAGTTATTGGAACCCCAATTGGTATTAAAATCTCTCAGCCCAACTCCATCGTTGCACAGTCAGTGGGTGCTCAGCAGGTGGTTAAAGTAAAACAGTTGGTAAGATGGTTTTTTTTGCTTCTCTGTAACTGACTGACCTTCTTTACTTCAACTCTTACCGTTTTGTAAAGAGGATACCAATTTGATCTTTGGTTGTTTTTTTTTAACGTTTGAAAATAGTCTGTCTTGAGTTAATCAGTTATGTTTGCCATAGTTTAGAAATATTGAGCCCTTGCTGAACGGGTGAATCTAAAACTAAGCTGTCAGCTTGGTCTCTTGCAGACATGTTGACCACCATTTCAGCAGACTGAACATCCATCTTTAGACACAAGGAGGATATGAGGTCTAACCCCCACTATGCATTCAGCCAGGCTAGGTTGGCATCTGAAAGAAAAGGTGGGAAATACTAGTGTCAGAAACAAACTGCTGATAGGATACTTATATTAATTAGTTTTAGATGTCCTGTTAGGGCTGGGCCTCAGCTAGCCACCAGGGATTCCAGTCTCTCTCCCCTGGTAGTTCCTACCCTCGGTACTTTGCAGGCACAGATGGCTTGATGACTTAGTGGTATGTTATTTGAAATGTACTACAGACTACCTTGAGGAGCTTTTCAGAGCAGAGTTCTGACCCCTGCATTTACTAAGACATGTTAATTATGAAGTCATCCAAAAGTGAGCTTTTTTTCTATCAGGCCTCATTAGCTAACAAATTCCAGGAGGAATAACTGACTTATTAAAACAATACCCTCAAAAGCAATGTGTTAACATTTTTTTTTCTTGGCACAGGTTAACCTCTTGCTAATGTTAACATTAAATACCAAGAAACTGTGGATCACAGGTATACCCAAAAGAGTAACATAGTGAAATAAATTAGGTTTGGTTGAAAGGTGTTTGAGATACTGAGTAGCATGCTGTCTTGACTGGTCTACCTGTAAGTAATGTTCTCAAGTATTTTGAGAGAATAGTCTCCCTTTGGCAGATATAGAACTCAATTCTTCCTTGTAAAGATGACTTTTTTCTTCCTTAAAAGGCAGGAAAAACATTAGACTTCCTGTAAAGCTAGATTTGCTTTCCACAGGTGTAGTAGGGAATCTGGTGTGTGAATTTTCTTTTGTAGTTTGGTTATTGTGTATACTTGATTTAACAGTGTTCAAACCCCCAAATGTTCTGCTTTTTTTCGTTTTCTTCCTTTCTAAGGATGTAAGGTAGGTGTAATAAAAAAAATCCTGCATTCTAAATAAACTGTTTATGCTCCCAGCTTTTCACCTTTCCAGGCTTGTTTAAAAAGAACAAAACACTCAACTCAACTGAGGGAATGGGGTGTCCTTTTTATGAGTAGGTATGTTGGGGAGGGGGCAAAAAAAGCCCCAACCCCAAAACTCCAAAGAAGAGGTGTCAGAGCATGTGCACTAGTCTTTGCTAGTAGTAGCTAAAGCCAGATTGGAAAAGGAGTTGGTGCCCATATTGTCTTGAAGGACTAAGTGTGAAATTCCAGCCAGAAGAAGAGGGCTTCTTAGATTGCATAAGGGCTGGAGGGCAGTTTATTGGTTACACAGCAAGCCATGTATTCCGGGGGAAAGGCTGACCATCTGTACAAATGGATGAGGAAACTCAAGTTTCCTCATCTGGGGAGCTGGGGAGTCAGTTCTTCAATATGATATTGGTGAACTCAAGAAATGGCTTCTGCCTCCTATGCTGCTGCAATGTGGCACACTTGGAGTCTGTTGCAACTGCTTTTCTTCACTGTGCCTTACATAGATTGAATTGCATACAAAGCATGTTTTTATCCTCATCTGGGTAGATCCCAGGCACAGTGTTTAATATATTTGCTTTTCAAAATACCTATTAAATTTTGGTCTTGGATATAGCTGAAGGGCTGAGTTGACCACTTCACATCTTAGCTGTATCAGGAGCTTGGTGTTTGTTCAGACAACCTATTAGTACAAAGAGCAAGTTAGTAGAAGCAGCTGCATCTTTTAGGGCTTCCCTGATGCCTCTCCTTGAAAGGGCAGAAGGTCTATTTCCTCCCATAAGAAAACAAATCTGGACTTCGCCTCCCTAAACAGAAGGGTCCTACTGCCAGCTGAAAAAGGAAGCACATGCCAGCTGTGCAAATCTGTCCATACAATGCTGCCAGCAATTTCTTTCCCTTCCTAGCCTGCAGGGAGATCTGATGCCATACACTCCCTCTGCATGCCTCTTTCTAATTTTGGCCTCTTGGTGCTTCAGGGAATGTAAAGCAAACTTTTGCATGCCAGCACCATTGGTGGTGCTTAACAATGCAGCACTGCAGTATTTTAATATCAAATTTGTGACTGGAGTGATGAAATGAACTAATGAAAGGAAGCTAAATAAAACTTTAATTTCTCTAGTGTGATTATCAAAACCTTGGGTTTGTATGGTGTGCACTGAGGCACCTGTTCTTCACGGGTGCTGTTGGACTGATCGTACTCCTGTGCTATGAGAGTTGAGTATTTTGAAGGGTTCCCTCCTGGTGACTTTCTTAACACTGCCTCATTAAAGGGCTTTGGCTTACGAAGAAATTTCATCTTGGAAATAAACCCTGTCTTTCTGTAGTATTGCTTTGTCTCTTGTTAAACCACAATGAAGGAAAATTTGCATTACCAGCTGCTGGCCTCTGATGGTGAACAAGTTGCTGTGAGACTGCATCTTCATCTCAGGCATAAATAGCAGGGGATCGATGATATAGTCCCTACAACTACCAGTGAGGTGCACTCCCTGGATATTGCTAACGATTGAAGCGAGGGGTGAAGTGCCTATGCTGTTCCAGCTTCTTAGTGAGTTGTTAGTGTCAAGTTCCCTCAGAGCGGAGTTTTCATGAACAGTCTTCTCTGTTATTTTTCAAGAAGGTTTTTTTTGTCATGGATATATGCTTGTGCATTCAACTGGTGAGGCTTCATTCATGAAGCAGTACTGCTTTTGTGTGATGGTACTTCAGCATTTCTCTTCTGATCTCCACACTTTGCTCTGTGAATGTAAAACTGGTTCAAGCGAGGCTATTCAAAGTCTCTCTCAGGCAGTTGTCTCTGCTGTCAAATAGATGTTAGGTTGCCTTTTTTTTTTCCTTGAGAGAGTTGTTGATTTTATTCTGATGTCAGTGTCAACCTGTTTAACAGGGCACAAAGGAACAGTCCCTTTTCTTTATTACTTCTTGCTACTAACATGAAGAAAATAGGCAATAACTCCTTCTCACAGATATTACCTACTTTTATAATGCTTCTTTCTGGCATTAGATTCATGGTGAAATTTCTAGATTGTTGATGTCTCCTGTTGCAAGTCCCAAGGACTTCCAGCTTTTGTTAGTCTAGCAGCTAGAATGGCAAACAGAAAATCAGCTCTACTGCCAGCACATCCTTCTCAATGGTATAATCTCCTCAGTTACTTATTTTCCAGTCTTCACTTAGACTATTGATGTAACATTGCCTATCTCTGTTCTTTTGTCTGCTATACCTTGATCTGAAATGTTTGTTTCTTCTGGCGCTCTTCCAGTGTTTTGCATGCTGAAGATGAAGCATCATTCTTACTGGTGGTAAGGAAAATCTCTGCGTGTATGTGGGTGCTGGTGGAGCCTGCAAGTAGTTTGTCCAAGCTGGTTGGTGGCTCACTCATTATCTGAGCACATAAATGATGCAGTTTAAGGTTATTTGCAACTGGATCTAGAAGCTGGACCTTTCAGAAAGATGAAACTGAGCTTTGGGAAAAACACATGGAAGTGAATGTTAGCATCTGTACTACTCCATGAGGCTCTGTCCACAGTCTGTCCCTGTACTCCCACAGTACTTCGCTGGATTTTCTGTTTCTTCTCAAGAGCTGTTTGTCTGGTTTTCAGATACTGCCTTCAGCTCAGTTTTCTGTTACTGCTGCTAGGCCAAACCTTAGTGCTATTAGTATGGGGATGGGTGGGGAGTATTTTGACACTGATACATGAAGTACCTCTTTTTGTGAATGTGTGATGCTTAGGCTGATGATATTTACTGATAAATCTGAAGTTAGGTGACAGAAGGAGACAGCCTAATTTCTGAAGTATCGTAAATGCTGATTCTTTAATTATGCTTGTGCAGTGTTGCTGTACAAGCATTCGTTAGAGTTCCTGAAGTTAGAGTAATAGATGTAGAAGAGCAGAAGGGTTTCTTGACTCTGAAATTGTTTGTTGCCTTTTTGCTGCTAAAAGAAACAGGATTCAGTCTGAAGATGTTGATTTATTTATTTTTTTTTTTAAATCATGTCTTTCTACTACTTGTAGTCAAGAACTCTTCCAAAGGTTGTATTAAAGTTGCAGCCCACATTCTGCTACCTAGGAAGCTTAGAAGTGAAGTTTTTAGAGATGCTGCAGTTTTATTACTTTCTTGCATTTTAATAGCTGCCCTTAAGAAGGATTAGTATTTATGGGCTGTGCCTGTAGGTCTGTGGTGTGATGATATCCTGCTGTCTGGTTTTGTTTCTTTGAAGAGTCTCTTTAGTCAAAACTATGAACCCCTTTCCTTTTTACCTTTCAGGTGTGTACTGATGTCCTTATTTAGAGTCTCTATTCTCTATAGGTGTTGCTATTTAGTACTTCATGTTCCTGCTAACTGATGTGTTCAGTGTACTTCAGCTTAGCACTTTGAAACTCAGCATTTCAATTTACAATTGATGTTGTGGCTCCAAAAGTGCATTAGTAATTTTGTAGTGTGTGCTCTTAATTGTTGACTGGAAAAGCATTTCATGCAAGACTGCAAATTATTTTGGTGTTCTCCCTTTTTAACTAGGTGTATGTGATACCTTCCCTTTTGAAGTTATTGGTAGCGACTCAGTATTTAATTGTGACTCTGTTAAGCAAGACTTATGTATAGGAAAGCCTCTTAGTGTAATGGATTGTGTAATACTTAGTGAAACTTGTCTGAGAGTTATCAATTGAGAGTAGGGAGCTTAAAGCTTATCACCATTTGTTAAGATTTCTTGACGTGAAGTGAAAAAAAAAAGGGAGTTTTTTTGGAGCATGCTGTTTGCTTTAAACTGAAAACTAGGCACACATACCTGCCCAGTGGCACTCCTGGCTAAATGGAAACATTGATACTGTTTGCTTCTCTGTATTTTTAGCTCTTCTCACTCTTGATACTGGATATTCCACTTCCAGGTAGTCCAGCAACCATCAGGATCCATTATAAAGCAAGTATCCACACTCCCACAACCCTCACTGCTCACCCTGCAGACACCTGCTGAGAATAAGATGCCGCTGAATACACTTGTTCAAACCAAACAGTTTCCTGCAGGTAAAGTGGAACCTTTTTAATGGAGAAGGGAAAGGACTGCTGAGGTATAGAAGTAAGTGCAGGCTGTTGGTAGATTGTGGGAATGTAAGAAGGTGCCTGTCTGTCGGGAGCAACCAGCTCTGTGTGTTAAGTTGAACATCTTTAGTGTCTGCTTGGAGTTCGGATGAGAAAATCAGTGCCATATCTGCTTCTGGCACTTGTTAAAAGCATGTCAATCAAACACTGGTACTTGTTAAAATACTGTGAGTGAGCTCCTTGCGGTGAGCTTCCTTTAAACTGTGATGCTTTTGAGAGTTGTTTCATGAGACTTTGGTTTCTCCTTCAACATGTTCAGGTTGAGGCATAGTATGAGTTTGTCTCAGCCAGATGGTTTTCACTGAAACCTTTCACTGGTCAGCACAGAGGAGAGTGTTTGCTGACTGTGTGTAGGGTTTTTGGCTGTACAGAGCATGGGTATTGTAGGATTCTAGACGGTCTGGTTTTCAAATGGACATAGTTAGTCATTATTGAGTCTGCAGTAGCCTTTGCTAGAAGCATGAACTGATTAAACAGTTATCTTAGCATTTTGCCTTTTACTCTAGCATGTTCTTTGTTTTGTTTTAGGTTCCATTCTGAAACAAATTACCCTACCAGGAAATAAAATTCTGTCACTTCAAACATCTCCTGTTCAGAAGGCGAAAATAAAAGAGAATGTAGCAACATCCTTCAGGTAAAAATAAGCAATATATGAAGGAACAAAAGGAACAGACAGCAAGCATAGAAGTGGGAACAGAGCCCAAATAAAAGTAACTTTCTTTAGAAACTTCTTTCTGATACGTGTTTTTATACTAAAATACTAATTGGCAATGGAGAACCTAAAAATTCTTACTCATAGCAGACTTTAATTATTCTTAATGTAAGAAAACTGTCCTGATGAGGCTATATTTTCATCATGCTGTCACAGGAATGTAGTTATATAAACAGTGTGCATCAATAGGTGTTATTTTTTCACTCATAGAGGAGGCGTATTGTTCTCCATCCAATAATATAAGTACTAATCTAAAGCTAATTTACCTCGTATTAAAATATCTCAATAGGATTATAGCAGATATAACCTCTGCTTTTTGTAGATGGCTGGATAGCATTGCACTGTTACTGGGACTGGCTGGTAACTTGTCTAAAGCTCTGTGCTGTATTTCAAAATCTTTTATTTGCTCCTCTTACAAGCTTGTTTCTGTATGGAGAGGTGAAAGCCTCTGATTCTGTGTCTCATTATGACTTCTGGCACATTCTCTAGGCCTTTAGATTACAAGAGTGCTTAAGGCTTTTAGTTCTGGTAACTGATTAGCTTTTGAAAAGCAGAAATTAGTTTTGTAGCTCTGAAATTTAATGTTGGAACAGAGGTACAGACTGCCATAAGCATTATCGCTTACAACTTTAAGGCAAGCTTGAAGTTGCTCTTCCAGGAAAAAAAAAGTATGATGATACCTTTCTTGTTGACCAGTTGACTTTGCTCTTGAAAGCTGCAGCATTGTGTGCACTGATGTAGTCAGAGAGCTGCTGTTGTTTACAGTAGCATGCAGTATACAGTGAACACTTAAAACAGTGGTAGCTTAGGTTAGAGCAATAGAATATAATGTAGGATGTAATTTTGGGGTAGTGATGTTAAGAAAAACTGCTTCATAAATGCCGTAATAAAAAAAAGAAAGCAACAAACTAACTCATAAAAAAAAAAACCAAGCAATTTTTTTCTGTGATCTTCCAATTGGAATATAGTAGCTGTCTTACATAAAAAAGTTTGAATTCTTGAAATTTCTTCCCTGATTTGTTAAGTTCTTAGTGTAGGAAAAACTGGTTTTATAGTGTGATCCAAGACAGATTTCTGTTCTTGCTTTGGATTGTGATTTTCAAAGTAGCAAAAGTCTATGAGAATTCTGGTAATTTAACTTACCTTAACTACTTAACTCACCTTAAATTTTTCTAGTAACCAAACTTTCTGACATTAAAAACTGAGAATCTTCATGTATATGAGTCTAACCAGTGTGTACCTGAACTTTTGGCTTCCCTTGGTGTTCTTTGAGCAGGTCTAGTACCAAATAGTATTAATAGGGCAATAGCTGTTGCCCAGTAAGCTGTGAAATGGTTTGTCCCCTTCTGTCCTGACTTTCAGTGTACTGAGCACAGCTGTTCTTTGACTTGGGATCCATCAATTGCTGATGATGTATGAGGCAGAGAGAGGCACCATGGCCCACTTTCAGATATTGTGATGAGATTCATTATGGGCCGAGAGTGTGTCTTATAATTGATGTAATTGTACATGCAACACTCTAATGAGAATGCTCTTACTGTGCACTCTCACTGCAGTATGTTATCAAGCGTGACTCCCTCTGCTGTTAGGTTAGGTTAGGATTTGAGAGTGTGCTATTCACTAAGCTGTACTTAATAAGCTGCAATTTGACCTTGTCTTCTCTTTAATGGGCTGGTTTAAGTTGCCTGAGATCAGCAGTACAAAAATTTTTTTCCTGCCCATACCCCAAAAAAAACCCCAAAACAACACAAAAAAACCACCTGACAAAACACAAAGCTGTCCAGCCTTCTAGATATTATTTCAGCTAAACAAGGACATTGCACCATGGCATGTTAAGAGGCATGTTTTAAAAGTATTAAGATTTTTGTTAACTGATCTAAGTTTCTGTAAACTGCATGCTAGAGAAAGAAGTCACATATTTCATCTTCAAATACTTGTTTTGAATCTGTTGTGTTTGATAGAGTTGTTCTCTAAAGCACATGAAACTCTGACTTAAGCATTTTATCTGGAAGGTGCTAGCAATCTCAACTAGCAGATAAACAGGTGTAAGACAGCAGAATGGAGAAGATCTGGGCAGCTGCTCGTCCAGGACCGTGGTGGTTGTGAGTGGTGATGGTTCCTGCTTTGCCGGAATTGTTCTGGCACAGAAGTTTTGGTTAGGTGTGCCTTTCTAGTTTTCCCTTTGACTGTTGTATAAAATGGAGTAAAAAAAGATGGATTCAGAAGACGTGTGCGTTCGTCAGACACCAGAGGGTGCCAGAGACTCACTTTTCAAGCAACAGGCAAATTTCTAGATATAAGATGCATCTGCATTACATGGACTTCCTTTCAAATTTCTAGAGATGCATCTGCATTACATGGACTTCCTTTCCAGTGCATATTCACTATAAATGTCAAACCTGACTTCATGCAGTGTAATGCTTGGAACGCTGTGTTCTGTTTTACACTTTGTCCTGATAAACTTAAATCACCGGAGACTTATAATAGCTAGGAGAATTTTTCCTCTTGATTTCTGAGTGTGACATGATAAAACGCAAAAAGAATTAATGGAAGTGGTGCAGACTTCCTTTCCAGTGCATATTCACTATAAATGTCAAACCTGACTTCATGCAGTGTAATGCTTGGAACGCTGTGTTCTGTTTTACACTTTGTCCTGATAAACTTAAATCACCGGAGACTTATAATAGCTAGGAGAATTTTTCCTCTTGATTTCTGAGTGTGACATGATAAAACGCAAAAAGAATTAATGGAAGTGGTGCAGAAGAGGAGATTTACACAGGGATTGCTGAAAGTGAAAGCAAGTCCATATCCAACAAAAACACCTGCATGTATGCTGTGGAATATTTTAAATGTATCACTTTAGTAGAATGATTTTTATAGCTTACTGAAAGTACATGATACCTTACTTAAAATGATTTAGGTTGGTTTGAACAACAAGGGAAAAAGAATGGTAAAAAGTAAAAACTTAGCCTGCCTTCTGAAACTTTTTCATTAATTTTTAGTGAGCACTGTTTCTAAGGAAATGTAGTGGTAGTTTCTTTGGGCTAAGTAAAATTAAGTGCAGAATCTTTTGTCAAAGTTAATGACTCGGTGCCTTAATGCAAACTTAACATTTCACATAAAGGCAGGTTATAGAGAAAAGAAACTTGAGTAACTAGAAACATGGATAAATGTATAGTATAGAATTTTACCTCCTCCTTGCTTGAGTGTTTGGAGTATGTGGCCAGATTAAAAACAAAACTTATTTCTTGAATCTGCATGCTATACAGTTGTATCTGGGGTTCAAGCATCCTGACTTAGATTCCATAAACAGTTCTACTCGGATAATGTCAGGTTCCAGCACCTACAGCTCTGATAGCTTGTGATTTGTGTTCCTGGTGCTAGTTGTGCAGATTTTGTCATCTCCTTTATCAGCAGATCCATGGCAGTCACTGTACTTCAGTGAGATTCTCATCTCTGCTATCAGCAAAGACTTCTCTGTAGGGGTCACTAAGAAGAGGAAACTGGAGTGTACTTGTGAAGATCGGTTAGCACTCAATTAGCGTGTAGTGAAGCTTCATTTACATGCTTGTTGAAAGTTCAGGGTCTCTGTTAGGCTGATAGAGCCTGGGTATACACTTGGAACTGCTCAGTTGTTGGTTTTGAAGGAGCAGGAGGAGGACAGAAGCTGTTCTTACACTGGTGACTTCAGCTTTGAATTGTAACTTTGGACATCCAACTGTTCTGACAATCCTGGGTTTAATGTTTTTCTGAGCACAATGTATTTGGGGCATAAACCTAGTCAGGAAGGTATAGTGTCTAGTTAGACTTAATGAATGGGGCTGGTTTGAGAATCTATTGGATCTCCTTTTCCCTGAACACTACATGTAGGAACTCTGAGCCATGAGGGCACACAAATGAACGACAGGAGGAGTAAAGGAAGACTTAACTCCTTTCCTAGCCAGGTCTCTCTCCAGAAGTTTGTGGAAGAAGGCTGGTGCCATGGAAACCTATTGCAGCCAAAAGAAGAAAGTTTATAGTTTAAGAAAAAAAATCCAAACATTTTGTCTTTTGAGTATTGCTCAACTTATGTTCTAATAACTTCAGCGTCTACCTATTGTCAGTCAGAAGACAGCCTCCAAGAAATCCCGTTTCACCTAAGCATGCCAAGTTTTTGGCTAACCCCTTATTCAAGAGTTATTTAGGACACACAGTATTTTCTGAAGGTGATCTTTATCAACCCTTGCCAGAGAATACTTTTCAAGAGTATGCGTATGTTGGGTTTGCTTTCTTTGTTTTCCAAATAAAAAGACCTTTGGATTGTGTGATTTCACTTATCTGTCTTAATACTGTGCAACTTCTGTTTTGGATTGGTTCTAGACCCTTGAAGCTACCATTAGAGCCTTTGTGAAGTAAAAAGTCTTCCTCTTGAAGATGCAAACTTATTTGAAAGTAACTTGGATTGTTTCACTGCAGAAGTCCTGCAAAAACTTTTCCCATAGAAGATTCATTCAGAGTTTTAACTTAAATGATCTTTAAAAAAAAAAAAAAAAAAGAAAAAAAAAAGCTGAGATATACAGGCTATTTTCTTAACCTGAGCTTTGCCATGATTGCAGCTAGTCTGAGTGGTGTAGCCCTAAATTTTAGGTTTTATTTTGAACAAGTAGTCCAAAGCTGCTACAGCAGTATCCACCTAATGGACAGGTGTTAAGGATTAGAGTTCTGCCTCTCTGCTTTAGAAGCATGGTATCCTCCCCACTATGTATATAGTATGGTAGAACTGATCCAAAGGACAAGGGCTGGACTGGATCTAGTATGTAATCAAGAAGTGTTTGTATCCTGTGTTTTAAGGGAACTCAATAAAAAAAGTAAAGATCAGGTCTGTGCTAGTAAGCTTGTGCTGTAAGCTTCAGTTTGTAAGATAGGTATCTTGGTTAGAGAAGGAGGTTGTTAATAGTGGAATGAGTCAGCATTCAACATTATTCAACACATGGTTCTACCTGGTGAATTGGCTCTAGAACAAGTTTCAGGCTGCAAGAGTAGTGGTGGAGGGTTAGGGACTTGTGGGAACTTCTAATCCAGGTTTACCTCAGTCCTTGGTTTCCAAGCTTGCTCAAAATTTCAGTTTCGTATAAAAGATTTTCATGCCTAGCAAGTGAGGCATTAGCCAAATTAACGTTTCAGAATCACTTCACTGGAATGTGAAAGCTTTTAGAAGCTGTCTGTCCCTGTCCAGACCCACACTAAACATCTATTTTCTATAGGGATAGCCTCCAAGATATGTGAATGTGGCTGTGTGTTGATAGTCAAGAGACTCCTTCTTTGTATCTGTTCTGAACAAAGCATAAAATGTTGGTATTCTCTTTTGTAGAGATGAAGATGACATAAATGATGTAACTTCTATGGCTGGGGTCAATCTTAATGAGGAGAACATGTGCATTTTGGCAGCAAACTCTGAGGTTACTGGTACAGTGCTTCGCTCTTGTGCAGATGAACCGTTTCTCTCTTCGGAAGCTCTTAAGAAGAAGATCTTGAACATAGGTGAGGACAAAGCATATGTAACAGATATGTATGGGTGTAGTATTTCCATACCTGTTTCATCAGCCAGCCTCCAATCTTCGAAGAAGGACTGGAACTATTAAGATCTATCATCTCAATTCATGTGTTTCTTCCAAACTATACTGAGTATTTACTTCCCCTTTTGGGAAACAACTGTCCTCTAAGTTTATTTTTACATGAAATAGTCTGGAGCACAACCAGAAAGAAAAAACTGATGCCACTCTAACATGTGGGAAGTGAACAACTGTACTACTCTTGAACTTAATGGAAAACTTAACCATAAAGATGCTAGTGTCAAAACACCTAAATGTGCTTTTCTGTCTCTACAGCTTCAAACTTGATGCATTACACAGACTTTCCTAACACTTTTTGCATTCCTCAGCCTGTTCAGGTATATGTACTCTATTGATTAACATTAGGAAGAAGTTTCAAACTACCAATACACACAGGGCACACCTTTGTTTATGACTCTCTCTATGGGAAAAAAACTTGTTAATTTTATATGGAGGAGATGTTGAAAACATGTTGTCTGTATAGTGGATAATACTGTGAAATGTACACTGAATGCCTGTGACTAAACTGGAATAGGAAGTTTCTAGTGTATGTACCACTTCAGCTGTTAGCTGCTAAGCAAAATAACAACTGTTGCCTAGCAATGTTGTAGTATGTTAGAGCAGGGAGCATGCATTTGTATAGCACCACGCTGATTGGTACTACTCCTGTCGACTGCAAACTGGATGAATGTTGCTCAACTCCTTGCTCGTGGCCTCCACCTGATAGCTTGCTGTACAGGAACAGTGAGTTTTACAGCTGAGCCTGTACAGGAAAGCCTACAGTTCATACATACACTCATAATTCTGTCACAGTGGTTTACCTACGTGATCAGAAAGTCTTTCTGATTCTACACACAACTGGTTCTTAGTCCAAAGTAAGCAGCTAGCCTGTGATGAGCATGTACCCTGCAAATGCGACCTGTGACCCCAGTACTCCCGCTCCAGTTAGCCAGATGTGTCATCTGAGCTGTGTGGGGCATAGTAGAGTGAAGTAAGTGCTGTGTTACTAGTGGCAAAGGGAAAATACACATCGAGACTGATGCCTAGAAGATTTTCTCAAAATCCAGTAGAGGATTAACCTGGATTCATGGGAAGCGGATATAAGGAAAAATAGAGCTGTGCAAAAACATTAGAGTATTTCTAGAAGAATTTGCTGGTTTGGGGGGTGAAGAGAATTCATTGACAGACAAAACACGAGCCTGGCTGTTTCATGGCTGGCATGGTAGTTGTTCCACATTAATAATAACAACAATAATTCATGTCATAAATGAACAGTGTTTGATTCCAAGGAAAAGTGCTGCCAGAGAGTACAGCAGTTCAGAAAATTAACACATCTGCTTTTGAACCAAGCCCTCTTTGGATTAAGAAGTGTGTGTGTAGAGGGAGATCTTGAGGTTTGGAGGGATTTTGTTTTGTGTTTAAATTGGTGTTTCAGTATTTAGATAGTCTAGTGAGAAGCTGCTCAGGAAGTACTAAAAGATGCTTGAGCAAAATGAGCATTGCACTCAGCTAAGGTACAGGCCAATGCTTACTGTTCAAATAGCAGCTTTGATTAGGGAAAACATTCCAGGTTCTCCCTGTCTTGTGAGATTGTTATTCATTTTCAGTTAGAGTAGCAAAGGCAAATTAAATAGGTGATTAGGTTTTTTTTACAGTGTACTGTTTATCCATTCTTAACACTTCACTTGGCAGTAAATACTGAAATGGGTTTTGAAGGCATGCTGTATATTGCATCATAAAGTATTACAGCCGCTGTAAATGTGGTGACAGGTTCTCCCTGTCTTGTGAGATTGTTATTCATTTTCAGTTAGAGTAGCAAAGGCAAATTAAATAGGTGATTAGGTTTTTTTTACAGTGTACTGTTTATCCATTCTTAACACTTCACTTGGCAGTAAATACTGAAATGGGTTTTGAAGGCATGCTGTATATTGCATCATAAAGTATTACAGCCGCTGTAAATGTGGTGAGGGGCAAGGAAGAGTGCTTCTGACAGGTACAACGTATGAGGCATGTGAAAATGCTGCCTGCTGTGCCTACCAGGGAAAAGTCACTGCCGTCCAGGTGTCTTGATGGAGTCGTGTTGAGTGATCGATGGTGTCAACCATGGGGAAGGCTTCTCCATCAGCAGCCTGCAGCCGCAGGAAGGTTACAGAGGTGATGCCCAGCTCTGGGTGCAGGGGCAGCACAGCTTTGCCTGAAGCTGTCAGCAGTCTCGGTCGCAGCTGCTGAAATGCAGAGAATCAGCAGCAGCCTGAGAGAAAAGGTTGAAGGTGATGGCAGGATGACCCCAGCTGGACTGGAGTCTGTGTTGTCCGAGCTGCTGCCGTGGGTTGGTTGGGTCTGTCTCCTCCGTGTCGGTCAGTCATGGCAGTTGAGAGGGTCCTGTGTGCCTCGAGTGTGCTGCAAAACCCATTCCCGCTTGTCGAATAAATGTCATGAGTTGTTAACAAGCACGGTGTCAAGCAGGGCAAAATGTAATTCTGTATTTTTTTTAATTACTGGAATTAACAGAATATGGCACTAATTTCTACAGCTACCACTTCTCCCCCTCCCCGAACATGAAGCTTGATTTGTGTTCTTATTAACTTTGTCCTATAAATGACCTTGCAAGGAGAGTGGTTCTGGAGGCTAAGTGAAACAATGTCTATATTTTCTGAAGCTCCAGGCTAAGTTTTATTAATGTAATGTCTAAGATCTTTGAAGTTGTGACTTTACCAGGAAAATCATAATCTCCAAACCTTTATTCATAATGGGTATGACTTCCAGGGGGAACAGAATACCTGCTGTGCTAATTATTTCAATTATCAGCTACTACTAAAACACGTAATGGATTTTCTCTGCTTCCACAGGTAAAAGGCATGACATTATGGAACTTAACTCTGATGTTGTGAACTTGATCTCCCACGCTACACAGGAGAGATTACGAGGGCTCCTAGAAAAACTAACTGTAATTGCTCAGCACAGAGTATCAACCCACAAGGTAAAGGAAATCATTAAGCAAGTTTTGCACCAAAGTTTTCCTTCTTTGCAGCCTTGAAGGTAACCTCTTCCAAGAACAGGCACATCATGTGCAATATCTGCATTTTCAAATATCTACCAAAGATCGGTTTTAACTGTTTATAGCCTGTAACTGTTCCATTCAACTTGTTGGACAGGTGCTCTTAAAACCCAGCATAACACTAAATGCATGTATTTCTTCTCTTTCATAGAAGTGGTGGCTGTTATACAAAATCTGTCTTACATGGTAGACGTAAAGCCATTTTTTAATGTTATTGTTGGTATTTCCATATGCATTTACTGTTGGTGGAACTGTAGTACTGGCTTAGTAAGAAGCCTTGGGAAACTGAATTGAGTATTTTACTTTTAGAAAGTGCTCCATGTGAAGGCAGAGACCTTTGTGATCTTACGGTTTCTGGGACTTTTTTCCCAGCAGTGATATTTCAGATTCCCTCCCTTTTGCATTAGCTCCATTCCATATAAAGTATATTGGGTCCCAGCGAGCCAGTATCCCTTAAGATGTACAAATGGGAAGCAGTAATTTACTGGCCAAAATGGGCCCCTTTTTATTTTATTTTTTTTTTGATCATTCAATAATGCGCTATTAATCCTTAATTTCTTCAATATGAAGCTGTTTCAGATACAGTTAAAAGGAAATATATCTGTCAGCTCTTAAGTTGTTGTTTGTTCAGGCCTGGTTTTGTTACAAGAACTTTATACTTAATGAAATTTAACAAGAGCAACTAACTGATGGAATAGAAGGGGAATTTTTTGTATTGAACTCTTTTTATAGGCTTTTAAGCACTGGAGAAGCAATAGTAAAGAGAAGAAACTATTTGGAAACTTCTAAGCCGTTATGGTGATGTCTGAACCAGTTGGAGTATGCTGTTCCCTGCCAGATGATGTAGTAGGAGATGTAGTAGGAAAAGAAGATCAATAAAGAAGTAGTAAAGAGATTTTTATGAGAAGTCTTTAGAAATCTGCATATGTTATATGTTGTCTCTCCAGAGTGAGAGGTACAATAGAGCTTGTGAGCAGAAGTGGGGAGGAAACTGAGTCCTGAGTAACCAATATGACTTAGTGTCTTGCAGACACCAAGAACAGAAGGAAATGTTTTTGGACAGTAGGGCTGATTTCTTTCTCATTGAACTAAAGCAATAGAAAAACAGATAGGTTTTTGTCTGATTGAATTGCCAGAAGCAATGATAAGATTATAAGACTGCAATAAGCTTGCTTTCTTTTCCTCTTTTCTCAAAAGCAAAACAAACAAAGAAAAAGTAGCAGGCATAGCAGTCCTAGAGGCACAGGTACCCTCTTTCGTTAGGAAGATGGTATTACACTACAGAGTAGTGTCCTACAGAATTAGGTTTATGAGTAATGTTATTGTGAGAAATGCTGACTTTTAGAAATTGAAGTTCAAGTACAGAGCCCTTCAGGGTTTGGGAGTCCTGTTACATATTAATATATGTATTTACACAGTCCTGTATTGTGTCTCCCCCAGTGCTTGCCCCCTGTTCTCTTTTCCCTCTAGGCTATTGATTGGTACCATTGCACAGTGTGAGCTTCGTGCATTTCAGATAATTGCCCAGAGCCTTTCTGTGGGGGTTGGGTAGTTGCCCTGTAAGGCTTTATATTAGCCCATCTTCCTTACAAAAAGTCAGACTGTAATAGGAATAGGTGTGGTGAAACCAAGGTATCTATTGTTGGGGTAGGAGTTGGTGTACAAAAGCCAGTAATTCATGGGATCACACTCAGGAAACTCTTCTTTCCAGTTTGCTCAGCTCACGCCTAGCAGCTTTCATCTGATGGATAGCCCTGCAGGGAGAGTGAATTGGCAGGGTAAAAGCTTCATACCGTGCCACCATGTGGGCTTGCCAACTTTGGCCCTTTTTTTGCTAAATTTAAGGGGAAAAAAAGTATATAATTGGAAGTTACTAACTCAGTTAGAATAAAACTATCATGGTGGTCCCTTTATCTGCAGTAGGAATAGCCTTTCAGATTGTTGCAAGCTGCTCTCTGTGATGCAAGACTTGTAGTGCTTTTATAGAGCCCTGGGAAGACCATAAAGGGAATTAGCTTGCTGGGTTTGGTTCCCCTGCTCCTTCTCTCCCACAGTCTGGAAAACTACTGAGGTATAAGAGTATGTGTGTGACATAATATGATACCCAAGACCAGAATTAATAATGACAGCTAAGCACTACAGTGATTAAAACCCATTTTTTATGTGGGCAGACTCATCCCAGCATGAGACAGCTGCCGTGCTCCTGTGGTTGGAGCCCATGAGCTCATGGTTTGAGAGTGCTCCATGAAAACACTTTCCCCATATGCAGTAGCAGTAAAACACAACACTGAACTGCATTGGCTGTAGGATGATATGTTATGGGTGCTATGCTTCATCGTAATAGTACTGGCTACAAGTTATGAACAGGTAGACAATATAATGTTTTCTAAGAAATTCAGTGCTATGTGATCACAGAGAACAAGCTTATCATAGGACAAAAATAGAACTGCAGGTGATGCTCTTCTAAAACTTCCTGAAATACAGTATCTTAAAACAGTTGATGAGCTGAGATACTGTTATGGATGCACTCATTTCTTGTCCCATGTAAGCTTGTGGCAGTGCTTTCAGACACTTGCATTCCTAATTGGTATAGGGTCATGGGTTTGGCTTAAAATGTGTAAATATCTGACTCTGACTTTGAGTATTCCAAAGCAAAATACTTCTAAACTTTGGAAAAATTAATCTTCTTGTAATACAGCTTTCTTCTTTGTCCCTTTAAAAGGATTGAGGCATGATGGTGGATTATTATAAACTGCTGCTTCAAAACAAGTTGTACTAATGTACTGAGAGTGACTCAAAGTCGTGTATGCTTTGTGGGGAGCGGTAAAAAATACTTGAGTAGTAACAGAAGGGGGGAAAGGTTTGTTGGACTTCTTTGCAGAGCCACAGATGCTGCTTGGGAAAGAAACTCTCTGGTTGCAACATATGGTGTGGTTTGAGCCACAGTTGGTAGTATGTAACAATGAGGTGGCTCATTGAAAAGGACCAAACACAATGCCAAAAGAGGGATCGATTCCATGCTCTGGCTGGGTTGTGAGAATTCACATTAGGAGACATCGCTGCCCCACAAGAAGACTTTTACTTTCCTTCCAACTTTTAATAGTATGTGGCTGCATGTGGGAAGAGGAGTCTGAGTATAGTGTGTTTGAGCAACTGAAGTCACTGATAGTCCATATACTTAACATATAACCTTGCCCAAAATACAGCTGTAAAATATCCTGTGCTTATTTCAGAATAGTTGTATGTCAAAGTTGCTTCATTACAATGCGAGATTGGGGTGAGGTAGAAAGAGTTGTCATTGAAAGTATGCAGTGTGTTTGGCTGATAAAAGCCCAAGGATAAATTTCTCAGGAAAAGCAAAAGTTCACAAAGTAATAAAGAAAGAATATGACTGTAGGATGTGCATTAAAAAGTGGTACAAACAGGTGGCACAGACATGCCTCATCTAGACTGAGCTCCTTGTCTTCTTTTGCCTGATGCCCTCTGGCAAATGCATGGCTTAAGTAGCCTGTCTTTAGAAGAGCAGAATAGTAAAACCAAGTTTTCATTGTCAGTTGATGACCGTGTTTTGGTTCTTTCTTTTCTCTGTTTTTCCAATCTAAAGTAAACAGGAGCTCAGGCTTTCCAGTGAGGGCAAAAATAGAATGAAAAAGTACCAATTGCTGTTGTTTAGACGAAAAGGACCCTGGTCTTGTTTCAGTGCCTGTGTGTCTAGTTATTGTTGGAACTAGTCATTAGTCTTCACTGGCCCAGGTTTGTTCAGGGTGCTGGATCAGATGACTTCCCTATATCCTATGACTTGAGAGTATCCACTGAGGCAAAAAAAAAAGTACTCTTAAAGCTACAATAAACCATATATAATTTATCTCACTTTCTCTGCCCCCGAAGTTCATTATAACTTCCTTTTTGAAATATGAGGTGATGCTTATTTTAACTTCTGCATTAAATGGCTGAAACTGGAACACAAAACTCAAAATGTCAAATTCTAATTTTTTCTCTCTTTAAAGGGGAGAGGATATATTCTGCTGCTTTACATTTGTTGTGGGGTTTTTTAATCTCTTCACCTGTCCAGTAAAGTCTTGTACATACGTTTACTGGTTATGAAGTTGCTGCTTTAATACTAAGTTTTAGTCTTTATACTAAGGTTAGGGAAGACTTTATTGTTGTTATAGTCAATATAGACTAGATGTTGTTAATGTCACTTGTTCAATAACCTCTGAATAACCACAGACGCTTTGAAACAGGCTTCACTAGAGAGAAGATGTGTAAATGACTACCTACCACCTGAAATCTTTCTAAAATACTCTATGCTTCTCAGCTTTGAAAAAGTGTTGTTCCTTTCTGATTGATCCCATTGGGTTTATTAGCTCTAGTGGTTTATATAAAAGCCTGATTGTCTGTAACAACTTTTTCCAGGGGAGTGATAAGTACGTTGTATGTAGTGACACCAGAGCACAGCTGAGATTTCTTGAAAAGCTTGATCACCTAGAAAAGCAGAGAAAAGATGAAGAGGAACGTGAAATGTTGCTTCGAGCAGCCAAGGTAAGACTCTTTGCTTTCCAAGGAAGTAGTCATGTCCTCTAGATTGGTGAACGTCTTCAGGTTTCTCATATTTCTGCTTTAAATGTAGTAACCATTAATTTTGTCACTGGAAATTCATAATGTTTAGGATAGTTTGGGCTATACAGAAAATGATTCAACCTATTTATATTTTAAAAAAATAAATCACAGGAGTTCTATCAAATGCATGGTGGGGTGAACTCTTTTGAGATTATTTCACGTGGTCAAAATGAAATAATAAGCCATAAATGTCCTTCCTGGATCTATTTTTGGCTCTGAAACTTGAGCCTGGTGAGATTGACCACCCTGCCAGGTGTATTTGTTTTCTGTAGTGAAGATCAGAGGACTGGCCTTGGAGCTGGTACCCCAGCATCCATGAACTCCTGATGGAGCTGCTGCTAGCACAGAATAAGTATCTTTCTTCACCCTTTGCTCCCCTCAAGAAGAGGAGTTAATTGAAAATAGTATATGTTGCTCCATCACATGTGACTTCATCATCTTCTGTGTGTTCTATTTTGTGTATTTTGTTTCAAGCTGAATTCTGGAGCCCCTTGGGTGGAAGCCTAATCTAGAGTTGAAAGAACTGTGTTGTGCTTGCATGAATACAACTCCCTTTCTTTCCTATACTTCCTGTCCTTTTTAAGTGTCTGCAGCTGACATGAACAACATCATGCCTGGACTGGACCTGACTGACAGTGTTAGCATCATTTTCAGCTTAATCTTGCTTCAGGCTAGAGCAGAGGCAGGCGGCCCAGATGAGGAGGGGTGTGCACGTATGTGCGTGGAGGGGGATGGAAGCCAGTCTGGATTGAGGCGTTCACGCCTGGAGCTAAATCTTTCAATCACCAGAGAAAATTGTCATTTATTAAATATTTAACGGATGCCATGGTGTTTGGATGCCAGTAATTTCTATTCAGTCTTTTTCCTCTTCCTTTGGTAGAGCCGTTCCAATAAAGAAGATCCAGAGCAACTGCGGTTAAAGCAGAAAGCGAAAGAGGTAGGACTTTCCAGTTACCATGCTTGCCTTTGTGTGTTGAGAGGAGGTTGGCAGCCCTGTCCTGGCAATTAGGTCAGGGTTTATTTTGCTGCTGCATACCATTTGCAGAGGCCTTGGGGAAGGACAGGAACTGCCACAGGCAAGGGCAGTGCTTCAAATGAGGTCAATGAATTATGAGCTCTCTTTTTTAACATTTTATTTTTGCAGTTTCAGTCCTGTCTAGAAACAGTCCTTTGTAAACTGCAGTAGTACACTTGGTAGGAATATAATGTGGGATTAGAAAAAAAAAAAGAAACTTTGAGATTTAGCATCTGGGACTGTACAATAGGCTACATTTTTCCAGGGTAATTGTTCGTTTTGTAAATCTGATACTGCTTATAATTCTTTGGCTGGGAGGCGGTACTGGGATTTAGTTTTAAATGGAAAACGCCTCTGGCTTTTAATTTTCTGGGCCCAGCAGTTTTCTGTTCTGGAATGGAGCCCTTGTTTCACACAGTTCATGTTTAGCTGCAGGGGTTTTAGTTTATAGCTTAGACTGGTTAAGCTTTTACTCCCAGAGGCCTCTGCATAGCAACTGTAGAAATCAACAAATAAGTTCATTTATGTCTGCAGCCTCCTCTCAGTAGCTGACTTTTTACATTTCCCAATATCCATTTCCTGACTTTTCTAGCCTGAGAGAAAAAAGCTCCACTAATTGGAGCTTATTTTAATTGAGCCTTAATATTGGATCTCACTGGAGTTGCCCCCAGAGCTACTGGGAACAGAATGAAATGAAAGTACCTAAGGTTGAAGATGTGTGTGCGTGTGTATGTGTGTGTGAAATTTTTCACTTGACCTACAGATTCTTTTCCCTGCTGAATAAATCATCAAGCCTGTTCACATTTCTGATTAAGGATCTGACAGCAGACGATAATAAAGACAATTGAGGTGTGAGACGTGTGATACAGAGCTGAAGAAATTGGTTTCTATAGTTACTTGACTGATTTCATGCAATTTTTAAGGATCTTTGTGCTAAATGAGAGTGATTTTCTGAGCAACCTTTTTCCTTAACTGTGCCTCTTGAACTATGAAATTTGTTGTTGCTTAACATTGCTGAACTTGGCTCCTAGGTGCCAGCAGCAGCAGCAGGTTATTTATGAATGCTTTAAAGACCCTTATTGTTTGGATTAATGTAGGAGCCCAGGCAAAACAAATGGAAATCTAGTAAAATAGTATTCGAATCAATGCTCTGGATTTGCACCATAGTAGAAGGAATTTGTAAAATGAGAGAGGAAGAGATCGCTTTACTATCTATCTTTCAATTCTTTGTTTCTGCTTACGACTCTTTCTTCATTCTTGTAATCTGTGAGTACAAAGTTGCCCCAAAGCCTTTCCCAGTTTGCCTGTAGTGCCACCAGGATCAACAATCAGTGGGTGATGCTAATCTGTCTTGTTTTGTAGGTGACTTTACCTCTGCATCATCTTGCTTCTGGATGTTCTTTCTTTTAATAAAAGACTGCAAAGTAACTATTTTATGCAGTTTCTTTTCTCTTGTTCTCTGAACAATGTGTAGGATCTTTAAAATTCTTTTGTGATTCATGTATTTAGAAGAGAAAGAAGTAAGGTCTCTTTTTAGATTGCTTGGTGTTGTTAATGAGTTCCCTTTTAAAAAGTGGAATATACATGTACATAAAAAGGAGCCAACACAGCAGAGAAGGCATCTAAGTTTAGTGCTTGGTCTTGTATGACATCTTGAGTTCACCTCCCTCAGCGCATTTCATCTTGTGCCGGATTAACACAGCCTCAATCACACTTGTCCTGCATGTTTCTCCATGCTGCTCCCAGAATGACAGTCCCCAACTGCTTCACCAAAAGAAGAAGAGTCAGATGTGCCTCTTGGGACAACATAGATCTTTGTGTTGGTATTCCCTTGCCCTCCGTCCTGCTGCTTTCTTCTTCAGAGAATGAGGCAGCCAGAAACTTCTCCTGGCTTCACATGGAGATTGGGGAAACATACCTTCTGTGCCAGTGGTGCTTTCTTATCTGTGAGACCATCTCAAGCTCGAGTGGAAATGAGCCCAAATGCAGCTGGAAAAAATCAGCACTTTATTGACAGTTTGGAGGCAAATGGTCATCATGTGTTTGCATTTTAAGAATGCAAGCATGAATAGAACTGGAATAACAGAAAAATAAAACCCAAAATATCCCAAAGCTGAAACTGGTAACAGAGAAGCACAGTGTATACTGGTATGAAGGCCTGAAATAGTTCTCCATTGCCTGTCTGTCTTGTCATGTTGTGATTATAGTGTGCTCCAGAGAAACCAAACTTGGAAACTTTGATACCTTTGTCAGCTGGAATCAGATCCATTCCAGGTCATTTCGGTTGAACATCCTCTGGAAAGCCTGGTCTGATTGTCCACTTACAGTTCCTTAAGAGTGAATATAGACCTGTCTTCCTCAAAGCTGTCTTCTATGTGTTGTGGGTGACACCCTGGGAGAAGGGAGAGGGTGTGGCACTGCAGCATGTTCTAAAGCAAAGTTTCCCAAAATGCAGGGTGTACATCCTAACAATGAATACTTATAAATCCAGGATGTGCTGTCATCCAGCAGCTGGAGGCAACATCTTGACATTGCTGGAAGTACATCCAGAGACTCTGCAGTGGATTCTTTTATCCAAAAGGCTATACATAATTGCTCTGACCTTTTCATCCCTTTGTGCATGACCTATTGCCCCAAACTTCCCCTATGCTAAATCATTTACTTTCCTATATTCTTGGTCTATGTAGATTGCTATGAATTAAGTCTTTATTTACTTCTCCCATTCACCTGTTTCAGCAGATTTTAATACCTATGGAAAGTGCATGTTCCTTCTGAGACAGCTGCAAGGCTTGCCCCAAGCTGCTGCTTTGTGCACTCAAGAATTTTGTCCTTGCTCTCCTCATGGACCAGCTCTTTGTGCAATGGCGCTCCTGAAGTCTGGGTAAATTAGCCCTGCTTTTCATTCAGGCTTATCTCCCTCTTCAAACTGAGAGGATTCAGTCCTCTCATTGTCCCTGATGCTTGCACTGTTAAATCATAACTTTTTTTTTAGGTGCTTTCTGCTATTTCCTGTTCTGCTTTCTATGATGCTTCCAGTTACAAAGAAAATGTTTAGTCAATGCAATACTTGTAGCTGTATTTATCTTGTAGCTATATTTATCTTATAGCTATCTTTTATTTCTGGCTTCATCCCCTTTCTGAAATGAGCTTACTTAAATTGAGTAGGTGTAGGATACTGTCAAATGTGCAAGCAAGCCACGTGAACAGCGCATCCCAGAAGACCTGTAAAAATGTCAGTATTAAACAGTGTGTACTATAATTTTAGCTGTAAACATTGATCTTTCAGAATCACTTAGGTTGGAAAAGACCTCTAAAATCATGGAGTCCAACTGTTAACCCAACACTACCAAGTCTTAGACCACCACTAAACTATGTCCCTACGTACCACATCTATACATCTTTTAAATACCACCAGGAATGGTGACTCAACTGCTTCCCTAGCTAGCTAGCCTGTTCCAATATTTGTCAACCCTTTTGGTGAAGAAATTGTTCCTAATTTCTTTGCACTTCTGTCCCTCATCTTTAAAAGTGAGTGTGCTTTTGTAGTATGGCTTCAAGAATCTTAAGGCTGAGGCTGGGCAAACCTTTCAGAATGTATGTGGGCACAGTTGCTTCTTGGGGTTGAGCAGGTGAACAGGTGTTATTCTGATAGCATCTTTGCTTATTTTCATAGCAGCTACACTTATTTCCATAGTGGCTACATTTATCCCTGCTCTTACCTTGTCACCTTGCAGAATCCTATCAGCAGATAATGGTGAGCAGCTAGAGGAAGGAGTGCATGGAGCAAGCACCTGACAGACAGCAGACTTGCCTGCCCTGTTCCTTGCTCTGTCAGCAGCTCTGTTCACTTAAAACTGCACAGATATTCCCACTCCTTTGTCCTGCCTGCTCGACACACTTGTGCATTTCTTTGACACAGATACAAGACAGCAGTAAGAGATGCTGAGAAAATTCAGTATCTTTAGTATCAACTGACTGTGGGGAAAACGGTTGACCCTAAGATTTTTGTAGAGACAAAACAAACCCTATCAAAGACATCAGACATAGAGTATGCATGATTCCAGTGAGTTCTGAATGTTCCAGGGTAATGACTGAATTTTAGTAGTTCTGCAGTATGTTTTCAACAGTCATCTTTTTTTACAATTTCATATATCCATCCTAACTCCCTTATTTTCCCTCACATTCTCAGATAGCAAGTGACTCACCTGATTCTTTACTGTACTCCATACCACCTCCAACCCACATTTTCAAGCTGTTTGTTTCCTTTTTCCCTCACACCTCTTGTGCTACTTCTATACTTAGACTTCTCCTTAGACTTTAATTAATCTGACCTGCGCTTTAGACCTTAGACTTCAAATTCTTTAAGACCACTCTTGTGGCTGGAGAAAAGGAAACTGCAATTAACCATAACCACTCAAAAAGCCAAACACAAGATACTGCAAGCAAAGTAAGAGGTCATCACGATCAATTGGCTTTTTATGAGCCTTCAGTGATATCCTGAGAGCTTCTGCTTAATTACCTGATTTATATTACTTTTATTGTTCTATAGTGTTTCTTAAATGCTTCTGCATGTTTTGGGAAAAAAAAAGCACACTTATTGAAGAGGCATAAATTTTGTTAGCTGCAGTGTAACCCTACAAGTAATGAAGAGCTATCATCAGAGATTTGATGTGTTACAAGTCTTGTAGAAAGTCAGGAATAAAATTCCTGTAAAGTGTTAGATTAGTGAGCAAGCTGAAAAACGAACCAAATGCCTATTTATGTGACATTCATATTTGGTGTTATGAAGAAATGTAAGAAAAGAACAGCTGAGACACTGCATCAAATACCCTAAAACCATCTGGCTGAAAGATGTTTTTCGCTAAAGATAGTTGTTGTCAACACCCCCACAGAACTCCTTTAAGCAGATCTTGGATTTTCAA